ACTCAAATAGTGCAATTTCACTAAACTTTCACAAGTTAATAGTGCATTTACATGGTATCAAGCCATATGAACTGTTGATACGCTAAAATAGAGGGACTACATGTCCAATGAGGAATTCAATGATATCGATTTGGATGCAACAACATACTGTTGTGATACTGTTAGCATATGAAATTAGAGCATGTTGGATTTTCATACATCTTCCCATAAAACGTTTAACAGATGCAGAGATACCAAGGAGGTTTTTTCCCATTTTGATGCCTTTTTAATATAAAAATTAAAAATAATAAACAAACAAATTCAAAACAAAGAAATTCTTTGTACTAGAACTTTTTAAATAGAAGCAACTCACGTATAGTGGACAATACAAATACAAAGCAATATGATAACAAACTTAAAAACAAGACATAACAGAACATTTTAATGAGCTTTATATCACATTTAAGTAAAAATAAGACTATATTTTCCAAGCCGGCAAAGAAATGAAAATGTGTATTTTATGTCACTTGAGATCGACTTGACCGATCTGGTTAATCCTCTTCTTTGCGGGTTCGTGAATAACTATACAAGGTTCACAAAAATCTCCTACCTGCCTGGAATTGAGTCATTATTAAAAATATTCAAATTTTCAATTTAATGAAAGTTTCTGTGTTCCACTAACATTAGTGTTGGATTTTTTTCACTATCAATTTTAGTGAAGAAAAACATTTTTCACTAGGCTGAAGAATTTTTTCGTTCACTATTCGTTTGTTAATTTTAGTGAACAAACTTTTTATTTCCCTATCACTATTGTATAGTGAGGTCGATATATTGCAATTCAACACTAACCAGTACTGAAGAGTACTAGTGAAAAATGTTGCACTATTACTAGATACTACTGTAAACTGAAAGTTTAGTGCACTACCCCCAACTCTGAATAGAACAACGTTAGCTCGTCAGTGAAATACAGAAAAATATCGTTGGCGACTTATTTAAAATGCACGGAACGAACACTGCACTGACGATAAAAAACGGCGCTGTGCCGGGTGTGTCTGAACTCTATTTGAGACTGAGGCAACGATATTTTATTTTTCACTGACACTGATATTGCACTGACACGGCACTGATGTGTGTGGCTAAACCTTTATCCGGTAACATATATATATGTAAGTATAAACAGAACCAAATCTCTGTTCGAATTTCGTCGGTCGGAGCGATGCCGTTGGGTGATATTCGCCGCAACATTCGCCCAGTAAAACATAACAGAACCGAAATTCGCATCAATTGAATGACAGATAAAAAATTTAAAAATACAAAAGCGAAAAGATAAATCACCAAATTTTGCCATTCTGATTCCTGCTGGTAATTATCTGATAGAAAAATGGGGAAACAAAGCCCCATTTCTACTGAGAGCTGTATTTGTGACCTGCGGCAGCGGCAAAATTAAAAATAAATCTATTCTTGCCGAGTAGTGAGGTCGATATATTGCAATTCAACACTACACATCAAGAGTAGTAGTGAAAAATGTTGCACTATTACTAGCTACTAGTGTAAACTGAAAGTTTAGTGCACTACCCCCAACTCAACTACCCCAATATAAAATTCTTGCCGAATTTCGTCAGACGAACTTCGTCGTCACATTGGTTGTGTGCAATCTCATAAACTGCGGTGTGTTCTAATTTTGGCAACGAACTTTCTTCCGACGAATTTCTCTGAGCGATTTGATTCTGTTTAAACTTTATCGTCGTCCGTATGCCAGAAACATGAATGTGTAAAAATGAAAATTTTGGAAAAT